CTGCCACCCACCCACGCGGCCTGAGAGTGGGCAGGGCCTCTACTGTCCCACACCTGCCTCAAACTCCCAACACGGAGAAGCAAAGACTCCGGCCACCACACCTCTGCCCAGAACCCAGCAGTGGCCCACCTGCCTGTTTCTGTCTCTTTTCCCAGCCCAGGACCCAGGTGGCTTGCAAGGCCCTCACGTCTGGAGAATACCAGGGCTCCGCTCAGCCCCCCACTTCCAGGCCTTCCGAACCCTGGCCCTTCCTGGGCACAGCCTCCCCAGACCTATTGGTCCAGCCCGGGATGTCCCGCACCTCCCAGTGGCCACTGCGGTCCTGACACTGAGTCTGCGCAGTGCCATGAACTGCACCTTACCACTCCCCTCCAAAAGCTCCCAGGGAAAACTGGCCCCCACCCAGGCCCGAGACTTGAGGCTCCCACCCTTCACCCCTCTGGCTCGGCTCTGGGCAGTCCCACCCCAAAACCACCACCCTCTGCTGCGCCCCCCACTGGGCTGCAGTCTTTGATTCCTGGGAAGGAGTTTCAGGAGAACTTGACTTGCCAGGAGACAGCACCTCTATCATACAGGAAGACCTTGCTTCAGTGAGGAGGGCTGGCCAGGTACAGCCACCTGCTGCACGCCTGGCAAGGGCTGGGTGAGCGCTGGACTCGGGGACAGGGTCTCAGTCCTCATGCAGTGCTGTGGTGGCTGCGGGACCCGGCACGGGTTGTGATGATGGAAAAAGGAACCTGGTGCAGCTGCATAAACAGCTAGAAAGGAGCAGAAGCAGGGCCTGCCCCAGCCCACCAGGGCATCACCCACCCGGGTGCCTGCCTCAGAGGGCAGCCCTGGGGGAGGGGAGGCTCGGTGGCTGATATTTGTGTTTAAGGATGGAAAGCGCCACAGTGCTGATACTGTGTGTAAGGATGGAAAGCACTGCAGTGCTGATATTGTGTGTAAGGATGGAAGCACCGCAGTGCATGGTTGGTTTGTGTTTGAATCTTTCACTGATGGTTCCAAAAGTTGGATCTCACATGCAGGTGCACAGACTCACAGCCCTGCCCCGTACAGGCAGGGACATGGTCACCCAGAAATGCTTTAAGCTCAGAGACAAGGCCGGGGAGGCTGGAGGCTATAATTCCTCTCTAACCATTGGCCCCCTCTTTTCATAAAGAGAAGCATTTCCTAGTGAGCTCCTCTTCATCCCTCAATAACCTATTCAAATGCCCCCTCATGGATGCATCCTTGCTGAGGTCCCGGCAGGAAGAAGTGATGACACTCTGGGGCCACAGTCTGAATTCCCGCACCTGCAGCACTGCATGGCTCTCTGTATTGGGTGTTTTGAGTTGACGCCCCCGTTCCACCTCCCCTGCTGCCATGGGTATACACCTTCTTTCAACAGATGAGTGAGTGAGCAAATGTATGAATAATTAAGCAGCCAACGAATGAACAAGTGAGCAACAGTCAGGCTTCCTCCGGCATTCCGGGCGCCTCTGGTCACGGAACACGGTAGGGGGAGCAGGTGCCTCCCCAATTTCAACCCTACTCACATTCAATTCCAACCCGGCCCAACACAGCACAAGTTTTCTCTTTAGCAAACACAATTCACAAGTGAGGAAACTTATTATGCACACAGAGCAAGAAAATAGAAAGCAAAAAATTAAATTAGATGGCAGCCTGGAAAATTGCCCACTGTGCAAAAAGAAGCCAAGCTAACTAATTTGTTTGGCCCCCCCTTGAAAATGGTACGGTTTTAATTTGGGTCTCTGGGACCCGGCCCTGAGGCACAGGAGGCTCCTGGTGAGAGGGAAGTGAATGCGGTTTCAGATGAGCAGACCCAGATTCAAATTAGTAATCAATTCTGACCCCCAACTCTCCCCACGGGCGGGCGGAAGTCGTGAGAAGAAAGGACGGCCTGGCTGTGAACTCCTTGGCAGTGCAGAGCACCTCTCCTCCTTCCCCAGTCTTGGGAAGCATCAGTGATCCCGAGAAGGCGCCCTGGCCACCATGTGTTCCAGTGGTTCCAGATACAGACAGCCAGGAGGGCAGTGGCTGTGGGAGAACCAGTCCCTTTCCCTGGAAAGAAGGCCGCCACATCTCTGCCCCAGCTTGCCCCGGGATCCAGCTCTGTAGAACCGAGGCCTGAGAGCCACAGAGCAGCCCTGAGGCCCCTGCGTACCTGGTGTTTAATCACATGCCTTCCACAGATGCAAATTGGATAGATGTTTTTAATAAGGACAAAACCAAGGCTCCAGGGCCCGCTCCTCCCGCCCCAGGTCCTCAAAATGCACCAGAAGCCTCTGATGGCTCCCCTCTCCTCCAGCCCACTCCAGCAAGCTCAGCCTCTCGCCCCACAATCCCCCTCCCAAGTGCCAAAGAGCTTCCCAGAAACCCTCAGGGCTGGTGGCAGGAGGGCCGGTGGCACAAGGCTGCAGGGTCTAGGGAAGACAGGTGGCTCAGCCGGAAGGCCACCTGGCCCATGAGTTCTTCCCGGGTACCCCACCTGAGCAGTGCACACAACCCCCAGGTGCACAGGGCATCTGCGGGGGGAGGAGGTGCACAGGCTGAAACCTGGGGCGAGCGCGCCTCCCTTCAGCCAAGAGCCTGCCAGCCCCTCCCCTCCCTCCCTTCCTGTAAAGGCCACAGGGGCAGGGTCCAGGTAGTGGGCCCTGGGGCAGACTCACTGCCTGGCCTATTCCTGCACAGTCTTAGGACACGTTCATCAGTGAGACACCTGGAGGAAGCTCAGTGACTCCGTCAGCCCTCATCCTCCTGACCACGCCCTGACTCTGCTGAGAACCCCAAGAGGGGTCTATCCGGCTTTAGGGGATCAAGGGCTTGTCCTATTAGAACACCTTTCTCCTGGTCATACTGGGAGTTTTTTTTTTTTTTTTTTTTTTTGAGACTCGCTCTGTCGCCCAGGCTGGAGTGCAGTGGTGCGATCTCGGCTCACTGCAACCTCCGCCTCCTGAGTTCAAGCAATTCTCCGCCTCAGCCTCCCAAGTAGCTGGGATTACAGGTGAACGCCACCACGCCCAGCTAATTTTGTATTTTTAGTAGAGATGGGGTTTCACCATCTTGACCAGGCTGGTCTTGAACTCCTGACCTCGTGATCCACCTGCCTCAGCCTCCCACAGTACTGGGATTACAGGCGTGAGCCACTGCGTCCGGCTTACACGGGCGTTCTTATTCCTAGTGCAGCCGCCTCCCCCCGTGGGGTGCTCAGGATACCTCGGCCCTATCTCTGTGCGCCCCATCCCTTCTCCATGGACCTTCACCAGCACCTACAAAGCAGCAGGCTCTATCCCTGACCCCGTGTTCCAGATCACAGCACAGCACAAGGGCAAGGCTGCCCACGTCGGGCTCCTGGGCAGAGTCGGTGGGATGTGAAGTTGGGTATCTGGAGCCCCCGCAGGGGCAGCAGCAGGGAGAAAAGGACCCTTGACCAGAGTCAGAAAACCTGGACTCCAAATCCAGCCCTGGGAAGCCTGGCAGGGGTCTGCCCTCCATGGGGTGGGCCAGCTGAGTCTGGGACCCATCTCCACAGGTCCCTGCACCACGTCCCTGGAAGGCCAGTGAGCGCTGCACCCGGCCTAAGATGCCTGCACCCATGTTCAGTGCAGGATGCCACGGATATAGCTGCCCTGAAGTCCACCAAGGCCTGGAGGGGCCACCAGCCAGTGACACCCCTATATATCCTCGGCCTTACTCCACCTGCCCAGCCCCTGCCCCTATCTTCTCCTGCCCAGCCCCTGCCCCTACCTTCTCCTGGCTTTGCAGGGCCTCTGCCCCCACCAGGCCGCAGCACGAGGGCAACCCCACAGCAGCTCAAGTCTACGCCTGCCACTCAGGGATGCTGGTTTCTCTCCACCCCAAGGAGTGGCCTCAGGCCCCCCGCCTAGGGGACTCCGCATCTCACCCACAGGGGACCCTCCCTCCCTGCACTCTCTCCTGGGCTGTGGTCAAGCTGCTGTGCCTGGAACCAAGGCATCCAATACCCCGCGTGGGCTCCTTCACCCCATGGCTGCCTGGACTGGCACACGGCTGCTGCCGGCTAGGCCCATAGCAGTGCCCATATCTGCCCCAGGGAGGGGTCTCCCCACCCACTCTGGTCACAAGGGGGGCGGGCAGCTTGGATTTAAGCCGGCCCTACGCGCCCACCCTGACCTTTGGCTGGTGTTGACACCAGACGCCTTCCCAGGACACACTGGGCCTTGGGGAGGTCCCGGCTGTGGGGTTCCCAGGTCTCACGCTGACCCCTGAGCCTGGCTAGTCTCCAATGACCTTGGTCAAGCCCACACCCCGTACAGTCAGCAACAGTATAAGTACAGCAGAGTTCCCTACCAGCGGACAGGCTCCCACCAGGCGCCAGGACAGCCCCTCCCACCCTGTGCCACCTCATAGCAGGTGCCCTTTCCAAGTGCCCTTTCCAGCAAGGCTGAGCCACAGCGCAGCTTGTCAGCAGCTTGACATCTAGGGGCCGGGGATCACCACCAGCTGACAGCAGGCGCTCCTCTGCACGTGCTCAGAGCCCATGGGGGCCGGAGCTGTGGCCTCCCGAGCCTAGGCACGAGAGTGTCTTGAACTGGTCAGACCCAGAGACAAGGAGCCAGGTCCCGCTGGCAGCCTCGGCCAGACCACACGTAGACGACGGAACAGCACCCAGGGGACCTCGCCGTCCTGCAGACGGCCCCTCTGCTGTCCTTTTCCTCTCCCAGAGGCAACACCAAAGAACCACAGCCTCGGGCAAGAGACCCCCACACATAGGCAAGTAAGGCAGGGTGCCGGCATCTCCCTGACCACCCCCAGGAACTGGAGACTGCGCCCCAGCCAGTCCCCAAGCCACGAGCTCACACATCCACGGGAGCAGCTGTGCCAATGGCCAGGGGCCTGACCTGAGGATACACCAAGGCCTAGGGGGACCTTCAGGGAAGGGGCCGCATCAGGGAAGAGGCACCCTCGGGGATGCCGCGCTCAGCGCCCGGAGGGGTCCCAGGGCTGCTGGTGCTTACCGTCCACACAGGCGGGCCGGGCTCTCGTGGTGCCGGCGATCTGCCCCTTTCTACACGCACAGCGGGCGGTCTGCCGGGCGATCGTCCTCCGAGGCTGGCTGCTGTCCCGGTCCAGGGTCACAATCTCACAGGTGCCGGCGGCCAGCTGACCTGCAGAGAGGAGCAGAAGCAAATGAGTGGCCACACGTTACAGATACCCATAGCCAGAGCCCACCCACCAAGGGGCCCCCGGCGGCCAGGCCACAGGGCAGGGAGACCACATCACTCAGAGGGAGCGTCCGAAAGCACCTCGAAGGCTGCCAGCAAGGAGCGCTCGATGGAAGCCAGAGCTGGGTCAAGTCGGCGACCTCCACCCTGTGCACAGCCTGGCGTTCAGGCAGCACTGCCTTGGCAGACAGGAAATTAAACGCAGCCCCATCTTTGTCACGCGCGGAAATGAAAGGCTCGGATCACGAGGAGGGAGCTGGCTCTCCTGCACACAATCAGGCGCTGCTGGAGGGAAGCCGGGCTCTACGAGGCACAGTGCTTGGTCTCCATCCCCAAGCGCCAGCACACTGGACCCAGGGCATGGCATTTTGGAGCCGGAAAACAGGTCAGACCCCCTCTCAGGCTTGTCGAAGGCTGTGTGGAACCAGCCACGCTGCCAGGGAGGAACTGCCATCCCCGCCTGGGTACAGAGGCATGAGCAGGCAGGCACCACTGTGTGTATCAATGCCAAAGCGTTCAGGGTTTCCTCTGCCTCCCACAGTGCCGTGCACGCCCCCACACACATATGTGCATGTACATATATGCACACAGCACACATG